ACTGATTGACAGTGCACATACAGGACAAAGGCGAGTAGCCTTCGGAATGCAAATCTCACATGCCCTTTTCATGCATATCTTACATTCCCCAATTTTGCTGGGGTCAGGAATATCCCGATCACACATCCGACAGTTCTTGTCAGGAGGATCGGGGCCACGCATGGTCGGCGGCTCAAGGCCTGAAGGATCCTTCGGCCTTGTACCGTTGGGATCAAATCCTGGATAATATCCGGTTTCACGTTTATCCATGGGCACGGGTTGCGTAGCCTTCGGAGGGCTCTGAAGGTCAGCCGCGTTGGGTTGAACCCCAGTGGGAATGTCACGGAATCTGTCAACGGGTGGCCGCAGAGGCGGCGAGTACGACCGCGTCGGGTTCGTCTCAGGTGCGCCTCCAGGAGATCTATTCCTGACACGGTTACCATCGGGATCCCGTCTTCTCCTGGTTTCGTCCCTAAGGCACGCAAGACAACAGGGACCCTGGACAAATCCAAATCTCCTGTAGTCATCCTGCCCAGCAGAATGTCTGGTGCAGTAGTAAGTCCTACAAAACTGACACTCAGTTCCCTTGGTCAGGAACGAGCTCTCCCTACAGACACCGCATCGGGGTCCGTTACGGGAACATTCTTCACACAAGTTCTCTTTGAACGAGAAACAATACTCACAAATATCACCTCTGCATCCTTTGCAGTGAAACTCAGCCATGAGGTGATTATTTCCATCACCTACGTATTTACACCTGGGTTTACCAGGGTCGCCAGGGTTCCCACCGGCAGCACTCTTTTTCCCCCCTCCTCCTGGGCTTTGCCGATCTGGAGGAGGAGGTGGTGGAGGATCATCATCAGGAGGGCCAGGTGGAGGTGGCCGCTTATCCGGAGTACGGGATGCGGCACGTCTTCCTCCTGTGCGATCGTTCAATCCACTACTTGATGCCTGGTTCGAGTGCCTTGACTCGAGGGAGTTAATTCTCTGGGCCGTATTACCCAGCACCTCGAGCATTTGCTCGATCTTACTGTTGAGCGTAGTTGAAACGGCCATGTTATGAGTATTTTGCTTGTCCGTGTAGGATTTGCAGTCCCTTGACTTTATCTCAAGGTTGGCTTGTGTTTCATAAAGTTGGTCTTTAACCCACTTTATGCCGTCCCTATTATTGGTCCAGCATTGTTTGACATCCTGCATCATCCTATCAATCTGACATACCCTAGTGGACAGGTCCTCGATTTTGAGGTTTACTCCACCAATCGCAGGATGGTTGGATTGGCTCTCCACTAGAGACCTCTCGATCGCATCAACACGAGCTATAAGCCCGGTTACTCGATCAGAAAGAGATTCAAAAACAGTTTGAACTTGGGTGATGGAGCGAGCAACATCATCATAGCTGGCTCGCTCATTTAGGGCATCGCCTATGCTTATCATGCGATTGGAAACGATCTTGACGCGTTGGCCAAGCTCGGTCACGATGTCCTTAGTCCCTTGTGACAGCTGCATGGCCGCGTTCGCAGCCTGCGTACACGTGCTACTCACGTGGACGCATTGGTCGCATTTGGCCCTCCACGAGTTAACCTCAGTGGAGAGCTGCTTGATGCATTGATCACTTCTATCATTCCTACGCCCAAGGTCTTCGACCTTAGCAACCAGGCGATGAATGATCGCACTTACCGAAGAGTCCACTCTCCCTCTTTCAAGGGCTGTTACAAGATCAGCAACCTCGTTGGGTTGCTCCTCACTCGCAGGACCAAATCCTGATCCGCGATCTCGAGGAGTGGACAAATCAACCATGATTGGATTAGATCTCGGAGGAGTTCTGAAATCATCCTGCACGGCCGTTGATGGCCGTGGGAACTCACTCCGATTAGGAGATTGACTCTGATACGGAGCAGATCTCCTAGCATCACGAACCGCAGAGGGTTGTGTCATGCCCAGGCCTTTGGCCACGGACAGTTTAGGAACAACAGGCCTATCCGTTCGCATAGGAACATCAGGTCTCGAGTCAGCAATAACAATGTCATTCAAGTCGGTCGCATTGGACACTCTAGACTCAGACATCGATTCAATATCAGTCGCATTACTGATGGTATGATTGCGACTAGAACTTGATGCCATCATGGACTCAGATTCTATCGGAACATTAGCTCCGTCCATGTTGTCCAGAGCGAAAATGGAAGCCGCGTTGGGCGTAGGGTGAACGCCTTGCGCGTTCAAGCCACTTGACCTATTAAATTCCTCCTGGAATGCTTCGATCCCATCAAGCACGTTAACGAGTGTGTCCGCGTTTAACGGGTCTCTACCAATGATCGACGCTGGGTCACCTGATCGACCGCGTCCTGAGTCCCGCGTATTGGGGTTACCCCTGTGGGCAGTTTCCCGATCCATCCCCCTTGCCCTATGCGATCCAGTCGAATTTGACCTTGATCGTTTGCTTGGGGTTGGACTAGGATGCAAATCCAATCTATCTACGATATTACGCTCCCTAGGGCTCTCAAATCCTGAAAGCCCTGGGGGAGGGGACATGTTCCTCATGGTCGGGTTTACAGACGGTCTTGGCCTGACGTTACGGCTGGCCACGTCAGGATTGAGATTCTCAATCGACAAAGGTAGCATGAATTCATCGCTTCCAGCAGCCCGTTTTGGGCTTTGGAATTGCGGGAAAGATGACGGGGCGGGTGGCCCTGGCATCCATGCGGCAAAATCCATACCAAAAATGTTTCCGTCGTTGGGCCATGAGGCTCTCCAATCGAGCCCACCGGATTCGGTCGGCAGATGAACGTCAAATGCAACTCCACTGGATGTACCAGGTTCGGGATTACCGAGTGCTTGAAAAACTATACTGCTGGTTGGCACAGGTCTACTGCTACTTCGAGAGTCACGAAACTCGGACTGACCAATATTCATCAGCTCCGGGAAAGATGAGGATTGAGCTCCAGGTGCAATACCGGGCTCGTCATCATCACGTCCTGAGACGGAATCATCATGGTCAGGACGATTAGCCCCATGACCCTGAGAGCGATTAGCTCTTGAGGCATTAGACGATAGGTCATCAGTGCGAGTAGCACTGGACCTTCCTGAAGGCATTGCTTCTGAAAAAGTGTGGTCCGACAAAAAGTCAGGACCGGAAAACATCGGCTGTCCGGGCACTTGGTCGTCATTCACAACGTCCAAGATTCCGGCCTGGCCGAGAACCCACTCATCGGTCACCACATGAGGTCCATCCTCTGTGATTCCCGCCATGAGTCCTACAGTAGCCTATGGAAAACGGCGCCTGCAGGGTTGTTATTAAATGGGGTTCGCGGTGCCAACCGAGGACGAATCCTACGGCTGATAACCTGCGAAAGGGTTTGAAACAGAGTTTCGGGAGAGAATAAACAGGCCCAATCCCACCAACAAGAAGAGATTGTTTAAGTCCCCCAGTCCCAAGGGCAAAGCGGTGCCCTCGGCTGGCAATGAACCACACAGATAACAAACGGGGAATCCTGTTTAACCGCAAAACCCAAACAGGAAAGGGGACCAGCGCAGCCAACCAGGCGAGCGCAGCAAGCAAGCGAGCAAAGCAATTAACCAAGCAAAAACGGAGCAGCAGCAACAGAGCGCACACCACCAGACAAACAACCGACCCACAACCAAAGAACGTGCCTACCGCCGCGAACCTCAGCCCGATCTTTTGCACGACCGGGATGAGTAGCGGCGCCGTAGGCAGCCGATGCCGTTATGGCGGAGTCCGACGCGGTGAAAAGCTTGAGCCAAACGGCGCATTGGCCGTGGCGTTGAAACATGTTGCGATAAAACTACATGCCCCCAAAAACATTTGTAATCGCTGCCCCCTTTTTGGGTTTGCCTCACCTTATTGGACCCCGGATTGAAACCAACTAGCTTTCTTTTGGTTGGAGTTGAACGCAAAAAAGGGTTAGCGGTTGGCACCCGACCAACAAATCAAAACGCAAAGACAAACAAACAAACAGACAAACAAACAAACAAACAGACAGACAAACAGACAGACAGACAGTCAAACAAACAAACAGACAAACAGACAAACAAACAAACAACCAGACACAGACAGACAGACAGACAGACAAACAAACAAACAAACAAACAGACAATCACACAAACAAACAAACAAACAGACAAACAAACAAACAAACAGACAAACAGACAAACAAACAAACAACCAGACACAGACAGACAGACAAACAAACAAACAAACAAACAGACAAACAAACAAACAAACAAACAAACAGACAAACAGACAGACAGACAAACAAACAGACAAACAGACAAACAAACAAACAACCAGACACAGACAGACAGACAAACAAACAAACAAACCAACAAACAGACAAACAAACAAACAAACAGACAGACAGACAAACAAACAAACAGACAAACAAACAAACAGACAAACAGACAGACAAACAAACAAACAGACAAACAGACAAACAAACAAACAAACCAACAAACAGACAAACAAACAAACAAACAAACAGACAGACAGACAAACAAACAAACAAACAAACAGACAAACAAACAAACAAACAACCAGACACAGACAGACGGACAGACAGACAAACAATCAAACAAACAAACAGACAGACAAACAAACAAAGAGACAAACAAACCAACAAAGAGACAAACAAACAAACAAACAAACAAACCAACAAACAGACAAACAAACAAACAAACAAACCAACAGACAAACAAACAAACAGACAAACAGACAAACACACAAACAACCAGACACAGACAGACAGACAGACAGACAGACAGACAGACAAACAAACAAACAAACAGACAAACAAACAAACAGACAGACAAACAAACAAACAGACAAACAAACAAACAGACAGACAAACAAACAAACAAGCAAACAAACAGACAAACAAAGAAACAGACAAACAAACAGACAGACAAACAAACAAACAAGCAAACAAACAAACAAGCAAACAAACAAACCAGACGATCAAAAAGACACGAAACATGTGAGACCTAATGAGACCTCTGGGCTTCCGGGCGGATGCCGCCGATGATCTCCAGGGCATGGCCCGCGAAGTTGGAGAGGAAGAAGCCGGCGATCTGAAGCCCGCGAGGTTTGCTTCGCCCGGTCTCGTGCCGGACGGTGTCTACGCGAACTAACTCGCTGGCCTACAGGGGTTGAACTGAAAGGCTAACCTGTTGAAACCTTGACTAAAAAGACCAGGGGAAAAAGAACTTTGGACAGGTGAGCTAAACAAGGTGGTTGCAAAACAAAGAGCAGAATCCATCAAACGGGATCTTGTAAGGGAAGGCCCTGGCCTACCAGTCTGTTGGGGCGGGGGGCCCGGGGGGAAGGGGGAGCGTTGGTTGCCTGGGGGGAGGAAGGTTCCCCTAAATATCCCCGTTAACACCACTCGAAGGAAGCTCATTCTAGTCTTGCACAACAGGTCATGTTCAAAAGCGCGCAAAGGGGAAGCATAGGGAGCCGTGCACAGGGTAAGGTGGGGTCTACTTGGCTTGGGGTGGGGTTTCCTTTGGACCCCCACCAAAGGCTCTTTTTCTAGCAAACGAGAACCGCAAGGGTCTCGTTCCTCTGGTACCTCTTGAGGCGCTGACCAATGCTCCATAGACCGCCAGCAGTGCCTGGGTCTCCGAGGGAGGCTTCATGCCCATGTCCTGGCGGCAAGCGTAGCTCAGGTGGTGCCTGGAACACGCTGGGCGTGGTGATGTCAATTCGGGACCCTCGGGTGGACGTGCTTGAACAATCCATGTCCAGCGGGCGTTTTCAAGGGGTGGCGTATGCAAAACGTGCCAAAATAGAGGCGCCCACCGAGCCAGCGTTTGGACGTGTCGGAAGTGTCTAAAGGTAGAGAGAGAGAGAGAGAACCGAAAGACAGAAATAAATGAAGGAAGTGAGGCAAGAAGGAAGAGAGAACAGTGGAAGGAACGCAAGAACAAAAGACAAACAAAAAGAGACGGATCAACAATTACACTCTTTGGATGGCTGTCCCAAGATGGTTCTTCGACGCATTAACAAATTGAGTGAATAAAGGTATGATAATAAGAAAGGAAGCTGACGTCCATCTAACCTCAGGTTTTGAGCTCTAACATGCAAAGCTGCGTCAAGGCACGAAAACGAGAAAACATGGGACAAGCAACCAACAGCTGGTCCAATCAATCGAGTGGCCCAACCCAGAAATAGCAACGAGTAGTTCCATGACCGCATAAAACCACGTGGCACTCACTAATCCCTTCCAGCCCTGTGGGTCCCACAACACTTAGTTGAGGGGTTTCCATGTTGATCATGGAGCTAAACCTGATCGCAGTAGCATTGGTTACTTTTGACTTTCTGCGCCTGCATCCAGCTGTACATGAAGGTTGTCTCCTTCTTCTCAGAGGTCCAATACCTGCCGCGTTCAAGCACCCCGAAGCAAATGCCAAGACTTTAAGACTAGAAATTTTCTATATAGACATCCAGAAAGACAAATGCCGCAGCTGCAAATATGTGGACGAGATTGTGGGAATGCGCTCGTGAGGGGGGGGGGGGGCGCCCTAGGTAAGGATTTTTATGCTTCCGCCTTTTTCCTAGACATATGCGTGCAGGTTGCACTGCATTCTGTGCATCTGGGCGCCGAGCTTTGCAATTTGCCAAATTCATGGCAACTCAAAAGCAACTGCTGAGGTCAAAGCGAATGCCACAGCTTGGTGAAAACCACCCAAATCGAAAACCCCGGGTGGGGGGGCGTGGATGCTGGTTTCCCTTGAGAGGTTAAACGTCAGAAAGCAGAAATTCAAAGGCTACAGCAACATAGTCTTTGACTTAGATGCTTCCGCCTTTTTCCTAGACATATGCGTGCAGGTTGCACTGCATTCTGTGCATCTGGGCGCCGAGCTTTGCAATTGCCAAATTCATGGCAACTCAAAAGCAACTGCTGAGGTCAAAGCGAATGCCCCAGCTTGGTGAAAACCACCCAAATCGAAAACCCCCAAGCCCATGATCAAAATGGCTCAGGGTGGGTTGGGTGCCGGGGCGTTAAAAGTCAGCACCAAATGTCGAGCAAAATTCATTGGATACATTTGTGCTTGCTGTGTAAGAAATGCTTTGAGATACCGGTAAGTTGCAAGTGGGGTCTGCCAGTCAATGAACATGCTTTGTGGCCTGTGCAGCGCGGGAAGACCACGGCCTTGCAATTAACCAGTAACAGAGAAGTAGGCTTCTTCCATTGTGTACCGAATTGGCAAAAATCAGTCGTCACCAGTTGTACGCGCCGATCGCGTGCAAGCCGCTGCAGCTGAGGGCACTGCCAAACCAGCGAAGAAGTTGGATTCTCCAAATAGGCACTCTTGCCCATTCTCAAACACTTCTTCAGTAAACGAATGGCACAAAAAAGCATAATGTTTGCTTGTGAGACTTTCTGTGCGTCTTTGGGAGGCAAACCAGGCAAACCGAAAATGCGTTCCCCGGGCTGTCTGAGTGGCTTAGGCATCTTTGACCACCAAGGGGCTCTGCGTGCTCTGCTCCAAGAATTGCAGGGCAGGTCAATTCCAAAGCAGTCGAAATGAGCGAAATTACGCATCACATCACTCCAACATGAAGGCTTTGAAAGATCGTTTGCAGCAGAGTCACACGTGTCAACTACACAAGCCTGGCCACCCAAAGCGCAAAAGGCTTGAGCTGGATGCCCAATCCCCCCAAATAAACTCAAAAGCTTCATGCCCTGAAATTCTCTTGCGCCGCCTTCGCTACGGCACGAGGAAGCTGCACTTTCCCACCGCGGAAATACCTTGTAAAATTGAGGCACGTCCTCCCCCAGGGTGAGATACTTGTCGCTGACTGAGTTGACGGCTTGCTGCAGGCGCCCAGGTTTGTCGTAAATCCGCGCGCTGGCATCTGCCGCCCACCGTCCGCGACGCTGTATCGCCTGAACACTCCGAAGGCGAAGCAAATGGTCCCGGGAAGCTCCGCCATGGCGATTCTGATACGGAGAGATCGCAAGGTCCTCCACCCCCAAACTCTTCACGCTGGCCCTCCATACTCGCAAGTACTGGCTGGCGCTGAAGCTCCACAAGGGGCAAACCTCCCCGTGCTGGGCTTCTCTGCCCCTGGCATACTGCACCACCAGAGGCCCCAGGCACTGCATCCGGACATCGTCCAATATCAGAACCTCGTCGTAGATCCCGGCTTTGCTGCTCTCGCTTCGCTCGAAAGGACTCAAAATGATCACATCGTGATCGTAGTGTTGGTTTTTCTTCACCACATCCACGGCGTGCACTTTCAGAAGCTCGCCAGGACGCGCATAGGTGGAGAAGGAGATCTCGTTGTACAAAGCCATCTCCTTCCAACCCATTGCCAGCATCACCGCGCTGATGGCCCCCTTCACAAACTCTATCATCGGCAGCCGTGTCTGCGATGGAGACATCTTCCTCCACCCCTTCATCGCCCGCCGAAAACGTGGCAGGTGAAGTTCCCCACGCCGCGCAGCCTCCGGCCTTTCGAACTCCAGGGCCGCCTTCAGCTTCTCCCCGGAGTCGTGGCCCTCGCCCTCTAGGTACAGGAAGTCTGAGTAGTCGCACAGCGCTTCGTCCAGCTCCACCTCGTCCGAGATAGGGAGCTGGTAGTGTGCGACGAAACGGTAGAACTGCTCGAGCCTCCTGGCATAATCCCTCCGCTGAGGGGCCTTCACACTCCCCAACTGCAGAAGACTCTTCTCCCCTCGAGTGGCACGCAACTTCTTCTCGTACTTTCTTTGTCTCTCCTGAGCTCTCCTCCTCTTTGCCGCCACTGACTTGATGACTTCCTTCAAGGCGGAAACCATCGGTGCCCTCCCCTGATCTTCTCTTCTCCTCGAAGGGCTCCTGCTTCTTTTGCGGCAGAAGGGTTCCTGCCGGGTTGGGCTCTTCATCCTTGCATTTGACAGCGCCACCTCCCTCTTCGAGAAAGTGGCCACTGTCCTCTTGGGCCTCATGTCTCTGGCCTGAACCCCGGAAAAAAGGTCTCTCCCAGGGCGGCGGCTCCCATGCTCTGCTGTCGGCATCCGCGACGTTGAACTCCGAAGGCACCCATCTTACTGAGAGCCGAATGCCCGAAGCCAGAAGATGCGCTGATATCCGCCTAACTATGTGCATGAGACCATAGCTGTGACACCTGCCCTTCTGGATAGCTAAAGCCACCCCCATGTTGTCGTTGAGGACCAAAATGCGTTTGCCATGTCGATGCTTGTCTCTGCAGCGATGTTTGACAGCCCCCAAAACACTTCGTGCCTCAATAAGGTGCACCGGCTCTTTGAAGTTCACTCTGGCGTTCCAAAGCTTTCTCCACTTAGTCGCAGTTAGAAAATGGGGTGGAACCTCTGGGACAGTGTCATCTGCAACCAGGATTTGCTCCACCCTACCATCAACCACCGGAAGAACAGTATTTGGGTCGTGAAGAGGGTCTGCCCCCGCAAGTGCCACAGCCCTCGGCGCCCGTCTCTGTCCTCCGTCCAGCTTGAAGCGCCAACGCTCATCTTGCCGGCCAATGGCAGCTGATGCAGCGGCATCAAAGTCGCCCTCCATAACTGCATAACCTGACAGGCAAGCGTCGGTACACAGGGGCTCCCCATCCCAAGTAGAGAACATGTCTGCAGTACCCAGAGGCATAAGTGAACGAAATAACCGTAACTCCCACGCGACGCTCTTCCAGAGACGTGTCTTCCTGCGATAACACTGCTCAATAAAAGTATAGCTGTGACGCAGAACGCACATCAGCCCACGATGCAGCAAGGAACGCACGGTCATGTGGCCGACAACCACCTGCAGCTGCTCCCCCGTTATGTACGGCCTGCTCACCAGGGCCGCCAGCGCCTTGTCCAGACGCCAGTCACGTTTCGGTGTGGGTTGTACAGTGCCTGACATTCCGTTAATTCTCACCCCCAGACTTTCAACCAGTGTGACCCCCTCGACCTCCTCGTGGGTGTCCAAACCATGTGCATGCAGAGCGGTCATGACTCGCTGTTGGTCTGCCAACACTCGGTCCCTACAAACTCCAAGGTGGTTGTTGTTGTCCGCGTAAATCAGCATTGCAGTGGCGTGCTCCCCCCGGCCTGCGTCTCCCCCCAGGACTGGTGCGGCAAAGCGATCGCGCAGCAATGGGACGCCAGGTGTTGATCTCCTGGCCAGCTCACAATGCGCTTCGTGCGCCAAATGGAAAGACCACGCGAAACCCATGGGCAGAACCCGCATGCAAGGGTAAATAGGGGCAGTGGAGATATCCCTGATTGCGGCAAACTCTTCAGGCAAATAGCCCAACTCTTTCTTTAGGAGCTCGTCATTCACAGCGGGCAAGGAGAAATACTCACCTAGCTTCCGAGATATCTTCAAGCGGTAGAAAAAATCCTTCACATCCTCCTGCGAAATGAAAAGCTCTGCATCTTTACCAAGTCTCCCCGCACCGACCTCGATCCTACTCCATGTTACCCAAAATAGTTGAAGGCGGTTCCCGAAAAAGTCGATTGGTACGGCGAGCATCGATAATGAGGCGCTGCTTCCCAGACTTCTTTGAAACCATGAAAACTCCAACCTGCGAACGGGGCGTAGTGGTGAAATAAAGGAGGTTGCACCTAAAGAGGTCCCCGAGGAAGGTGTGGTAAGTTGTCGGACTGTTCGCAATCTGAGGATCCATGTACATATCTTTTGAAAAACCCTTCTCTTGCTCACCTGCCATCTCCTCCGGGCTGAGCAACATATGGCTCTCAAAGCGCTCCAGTATTTTCTTTTCCCTCTCTGGCAACATGTCCACAAGTTCAGCTGGTTCACCCTGCCCAAATGGCAGCGACAGCTGGTCCCTGATGTAGCTCGCAAGTTGCCCCGGACTGTCAGACACCGCGTAGGCGCCTGATGCCTTACCACGCAGCAGCTGCCGAAGCGCTGCCTGCTCTGTTTCACAAAAAGGTGCAGGAGGACGCTGTTCATGTTTTCTCCAGATCCCCTGCAACGCCTCAGACTGTGCGGCATTCATCGACAGGAAGGCCATAGGCGATCATCAAGAAAGCCAGCAAGGCAGTTTAATGCCACCACCGACTCCCTGTTGCGCTCCAGTAGAACTCGACGGCGCACCACACGCTGCCGAGCCCGACGGGAAGCCAGAAGACCCGCCTCCCCGACATAGCCATGATCCACAGGTAGGGGTGAAGGCAAAAGATCCCCAAACCTGGCCTTTGCGGCATTGGAAAACCTTGCAGCGCCCGAAAAAGTGTCATCGGCGCATCCGGTGCCCTGGATACGCCGACCACCAGCAGTGCTAGGGTTTCTCCGGGGCCTTGTCCTTAGGCCCCGGCCCACCCTTTCCACCCCCCTTGCCATCATTCCGCAGGTGCTTCTTCTCCTCGGCTGCCAACCTCGTCTGTTTCATGACCTCGGCCTTCGCCGCCTGCCGGCGGGCTGCATGTTGCTGCAGGGCCGGGTCGATCAGGCTGCCGTCAGCGGCATCACGAACTCGAAGGAATTCCTCAGCTCCCTCGTAGGAAGGGGTGTCCGGCCTCCCCTGGTGCGCATGCTCTATCAGCGTGCGTCGTCTATTCATGGACTCAGCACAAGCAAGGCCGCCGGCATTCAACTGATCGTAGCATATGAGGTAGTTTAAGCTTCGACAGATAGCTGCGTGTTCATGCACACTTCGGTCTGAATGCCTGACCCCACTCTTTTTCAGCCAAGATTCGTGATGTTGTAAAAAATCCATAGACATCCTGCGAAGTTGCCCCCCAGTGGGAAGTCATCATAGTCAACCTCCTCCATGTCTGGGACCGCTTCGCTGATCGTACGCCATCTCTCTTCAGCTGAATCAAACATGACAGGCAAAATCCTCACATCCCTTTCTTCGGGTTTTGGAGTCTCAGGGCCGGCCACCCTCAAACTCTTCTGCAGGCTCTCCAACTCACTGGCCGGCACTGCCCGGGTCAGAACCTCATCCCCTCCAAAAGAGAACAAATGGAAAATTCTACCGCCAACCACCATTCGCGAGGCATCGCCGGGTGGAACCACCTCCTCACCTATGGCTCCTCCACCGGATCGATAGACCACTATATGCATGTCACCCGGCTGAGACTCATGCTTGGGGCTTGGCCTCGGCGCAGCCGGAGCGGCACCATCATCCTCATCACGCCTGCCCACCAAGCGGCGCCTGCCTCGGCGGGCCAGCGCAGCGCGCTCCGCAATCTGCACCAGCCGCCGAACCTCCTCCGCGTTGATCTTCCCAGCGCCGGAGTGCTTGGGAAGGTACGCGTCTCTTTCCCGAACACCGCCTGGGAGCTTGCCATGCATGGGTATCACCTCCGTGTACACCTCTCCTGTGACAAGGGTTGTATCCTGGATATCACGGTCCGGGGTCACTATTGCAACTTCATCACCATGGTAGCACATCAAAACCATCCGCCAGTGCAAGAGCGCAGGGTCATCCCTGAAGCGCACGAGCACGCAGTCTTGCGTTAGCCAGTTCTTCGCTGCTGCAACCGCCATCACTTGTCTTTCGAGACAAGCTCAAAGGGGCGCTGGACCAGTCACCTTTCACTGGCTTTGCCCGCGTGATCTCCTGCTTCTCCGCCACCAGGCGCCAGATAAAAATGCAAATGAGGGAAAAGATCACCCCAGCTAGGAAACCTATCAGTATACTCAGCCAGTCAAACTTGCAACCCTCTTTGCTCAGAACCACGGCCAGTTGCTGCTGACACCTGCCCACTTGCTCTTGCAGCCAGATGTTGTAGCTCTTGCACACGCTGCCCTCCCCCGAACCACGAAAACGCAGGGATTCAGCCACCCACGCGCCCAGCACCTTAAGACTGTCGATGGCCAAGCCGCGGGCCACCTCTTGCCAAGCGCCCATTGGGCGACCTATACTAATGCTGGTTTCCCTTGAGAGGTTAAACGTCAGAAAGCAGAAATTCAAAGGCTACAGCAACATAGTCTTTGACTTAGATATTTTGCGAGTCAGGCTTTTAGGCCCCCCACCCCCAAACCCTGATTAAATCAGGCATCGTGGGAAAGAAGCGAAAGCTTGGAGAACTCACGCTAGCACAGCGAGCTTTCGCGAAAAGCATGCGCGACTGGTATTGATTCAAGCTTGAGAGTAAGTTTGAATGTGCTTACCCCACTTCAGATCGGTCAGTGTCCTGTCTTCGTGAAAAACATGGCTACTGAAAATGAAGCTGCTTCTACATACACTTGCGTGCGTTTGCGTCCCTATGTGGTTTGATGGTTCAAATAAGTCACAAGACAGTAAGAAGTGGAAACGACATTGACCGCAAGTTGGTTGCTCCCCACTTGCACAGCCCAGGTTTCAAACGCTAAAACTCCAAAATGCTAACCCATTTCCTCCGCATTTATCAACCGGGGCTGTTGCATAGCGATGCCTTCATTTCTTCTAGGGTAAATTGATAATCCTTAATGACTTATCAATCAACTATCAACCACCACCGATAACCGCTCACGGGTCCTCTGATAGCATTGAGGCCCTCTTGATCTTGATATCGATGAACAACCCTCACTAGGGAACCCACCCTGAGTTTAGCTGATGCGGTCAAAGGAGCAGCGAGCACAGATAAGCAGGCCGGCAGTGCACAATCCAAAGGTTGCAGAAGTTCTGGAAGACCATGATGCCCGCAAGTGCCACAAACATCACCTCGTGCAGCTTCCGGCTTTCACTCCTTCGCTCGAATATTAGGCGCAGCTTTATCTACAATTAAGCGGTGCACAAACAAGCATGGCACGACTTCTTGCCCAAGGCACATAAGTATCAAAAGAAGGCCCGACTTGTTGAGGCTTTAGATAATATCAAGTTCAAGGTCGGGCGGGAGACCCTCAAAAACCGCCACCCCCGCCAAACATCTTGTCCAGTTAAGCATCCTACACGCCAAGCTACGGGGCGTTTGTCTACTCAATCCATCACACCAGGATTCCCTGTCATACAAATCCGGTTGAAGAATCAATCATGCTCAAGGCCGAAACGCCAACTGAATCAGGACTCTCAATGTTCCCATAGTTCCTTGAAACGCATCGATGGCCTCACATCCCCTCCATCCTGCAAGCCATCACAGTAACTCATGCCAAAGACTCTTTCCCACCCTTGTTGTTTCCTTTTAATAGGGAACCACCGAGCGAAGGCCCGCCAGGCACCGCACGAAGAAGGTGAAGTACCCCATGGCCTGAAGCGGTCACCAGCGGCAATTTGGCGCTGAGAGATGAACACGGCAACAACATACTTGTTTAGCACGAGGGATCCCGATGTCTAACCCGCGATCCGCAATGGGACACCACAAGGGAAACCAGCAGCTGGCATAAGCATTCGCGAATGCCCCAAAAAATAGCTCGTCCATTGTCGCTCGTTGATCCAGAAAGTATCATTATCAACAACACCACTCAGTGAGGGATCGGAGAAGAAAACAAAATGCATCATCTTGCACAGGAAATTATCATCCCTGGTCGCTCCCACAATGGGGATCGTTATACCCCGAAAGCGCCCCATGTATTTTCAAGAAGAATTGAACACCATGCTTGTCAAATAAACAATCTAGTCCTTTGTCCAAAGGAAGTCTTATAAATTTAGCGAAGTCCAAAATGCCTTTGCAAGGGGGGACCTATGCAACAGAACAAATAGATGGCTTCCGACCGGCTTTCCCGCCTGTTCCCGCCGAGACCAGTCATAGCCACTTGTTTTGGCTGCCAACCTGCCTTGAGGTAGCTGTAGTAGGTCGACCATTGCACATGGCCGGCCACCCTTCCTGGCGATCACATCAAAATTCCATGCTTAATTCCCAAACTGAAAAGTACGGGAACCGCCCAGTCAAGGGCCTTCATCATGGGTGAGCTTGCTATAATCTGTCCAAATTCATCATCCACCGGCGTGGCTGACTCCCGCCGAGATCCAAAGGGTCTTCTGCTTCAACACATCCGCCAGTTCTTGGAATCAAAATGGAGTGTAAAGCTTGCGCAGAAGCAGGGCTGGTCATAGAGATGCCCAAGCTGGAGTAACATCAACAGGTTTGCAATGGTTCTGTCCTGAAATGGTGCACTTCCACAAACACTTCTTTTTGCCCGCGTTTCACCCCTTCACCGAAAAGAGACATTGAATGACCTGCCTTTGCCCACGAGTGATAATCGGATGAGCACCTGAGCCTAGCAAAAAGACTACTCAAAATATTGTTTCCTCAAAAAAAGATACGTTGGGTGTGCCCCGCATGCGCTCTCCAAAAGTAATAATAAGCTACCACAAATTCTGTAGTTCAGTCAGTTGCTGATTTTCCTCCTCAGCCTGCACTGCAAAACGCTGGTTGCCGGCCTTCTTCTGTGGTAAGTACGCCTTTCGTCTCCTGCTCCTTCGTGAGGGGTGTTTGCCTGGGTGCGGCTTCTGGACTGGAACCGCCCCTGGAGTCCTCGTTCTGTTGAAGAACTCGCACGTCTCAAATGTCCAAAACCGCAAAGACCCGAATATACAACAGTTCTGTCACACATGCCAAAACACCAATCACAAACATTCGGAAGTCATTTCTCATATGTCGACCGGCCAGGAAGCTGAATGTCTGGAAGCACCAACTTGATTCTATGTTGAAATCAACTTGATTCTATGCTTGAAGCACCAAGCTGAATTTCTCCTATGTTTCGACCGGCCAGGAAGCATTGACTTCAAACATCTTCCCATAGGCTGCCCCACGTTTCCACCTCAGCGCGGATGGACTTGGGGCTGACGGCCGGCAGGCGAGGCCAGGGCGCCGCTGCGTCGGCCTCGAGAATGCGCATGTCCCGTTTTGGGACGTCCAACCACCCGTCTTCCCCAAGGGAAAACCACCAAAATCCTCGGCTTCTTTCCCTTTGGTTCGTCAAACAAAAACTCCAAAATAATTACTGTGGCCTGACAAAAATATATAGACACCCATGTTTTGCCATCATGGATTCAAAATTGTCCCGCACGTGTCCCCTCAAAAGGGGGCACAACCTGATGGATTTCGTTAAGCTTGCCCAACTCTGGGGAATGGGTAGCATGCGTAGCTTTGAATCCAATGACATTGCCATCTCTCGGATGCAATAAGGAAGAAAGCCAACAGTTTCCGATTGGTCTGAAGGCAATGTTGCCTGCCACAAAGTAGTTCATTTCTTTCGAATGCTGTTTTCACAAAGGCGGAACTAGATCAAATTGGAAATTTAACAATCGCATAAGTCGGCCGGCATTTCGTTCGCTTCGATTGTGCATTGCAATTGACGCTTGTGACCTTGGCTGGCACACATGATTCAAGCCGTCCTTGGACACCCTGGTCCAAAAGGACAACATTGTTTGCAAGCCACAAAACCAACACGAGCGCGGTGGGTGCATGACTACAAGCAACTTGTCAGAGACTTTTAAATTATTCTTTGAACAGGGTCTGAAGTGCCCGGGCTCCAGCAACCATGATGTTCCGATGTTCGATTGACATACTACGGACCTCGGGCGAATAAATCCTTTCACTATAGGTTCTCAATCATGTTCCCACTTCTGGCCCAGTCTAAGCAGCAGTCCGTTGCAAAACCAATGCCCTGACCTTGCTGCAAGCGCATCCCTCTTTGGAGGCGAAATACGAAGGGTCATTGGACAGGATACTACACAAACGATTTACGCACTTGGCTGGCCATGAATCAGTAGAACAAACCAAAACAGAGCCCTGAGACGACAAGCAGCTCCAGGAAGCTAAAAAGATGCTTATGAAAATCATGGTGTCTTCAAGGGACAATTGAAGTTTCACAGAGTCCTAGAGCGAGACAAACGTCTCTGCGAAGCAGAACCTAACTCCTGCTAGCTTTATTAAACTTTCTGTGCCCCCCTTCTTTGTGCGACCTCAAATGGCTTCACCCAGACTCGGCTTGTTAGAGAAGGCATGCAAATGTGTCAAGGTTGGAAGGCAAAAACTTGAAACCTATATGCCGCTCTTGAGCCGAACTCGATCTACAATGAAACTTGCGCCTAGGACGGTCAGTAAACGTGCAAGCTACCCCGTCCACCTCAGCCATGGGCGGGTCCCAATTCAAGGCAGGCCTATTTGTGGATGTCAAACACTTGACTCTGTTCAAATCATGGTTTAAGAAGAAAACCGTCTAGGATACCAGCCTTTTGAAGTTGTGGTTTCGTTCACGAGAATCAACTGAAACTGAAGCACTGGGAGCTCCAAAGCAGAGTTGGGCGATTCAATCCGTTCTTTAGACATCTTCACAACTTTCGACCGCCCGTGTGCCTGTGGCTGCAAGGGAGGCTCTTCGTTTGGTTCCACGTCCTCCTCGTCCTGCTCATCCTGCGTTGGAGCGGTGGCTTCTATCGCTCGTTACTGGTCACTCGGCAATGTACCTACTTTGAAGCTCCTCTTGCGACATGACAATCTCTGCCAAGCTGCTCTACACATTTCAGTTGCCTGGCGACTCCAACAAGTTGAAAGGAAAGTGTTGTTGCTGTGCAACTGGCAAAATAAGTTGACAACATCTGTTGGTTTCATGCTATGTGAAGTAGATCGATCATGTTCTGCTTGCTAGCTTTTCCGCAGCGGCACATGCAAAGCTTACTCATAAACAAAGCAAGTCGCTCTGGTGTCATCAAGTCTGCTGTCGATGAGACGGCAAATTCATGGGTTTCCTCTGTCATCCTCCCAGGAACACATTGGACACCACAATCTGTTGTCATTGTTGGGGAGCCCGTCAGCCATGTCCTCATCTTGCGGGTTGCGCATAGGCATTGTCACAGTCTCCTGGGCACAGCAAACGAGTGGCGACCACAAACAGCGAGCTTGAGCACCTGGAATTCGTGCTCTCACCTCTCACTCTTTTGATCCAAGCACCTATGCAAAGGCAAAGAATGAGCCAACCGGCGTCCGAATTTGAGGATCAACCCGGTCAGATTTGACCCTACCGACTTGGGCATATCTCTGTGTAAATGACAGGTTCAGCATGTGCCGATGGAGTAGTTCCTGCAAATATGAAGAACGTAACTGGGTACCAAGCAATGTCTCAGGAAACACATGATAGACATCGCCCAGCAATGCAACTTATTGTGCGAACCGGGCGAGGTTGTTTGTTTGTTGTCTGGCGTGGTCTGGTCACAGCCGGCAGCTACAAGAGAAGGTGCCTGCAGGGGCTGGACAACACAACTCATTGGTCACATTCACGGGCTACCACACATCCCTTCCTTCAATGTAGGGGCAGGAGTAGATCATTGTCCCACATGGCACCTTAGCTTTGTTCTGAATCTGCGGGTGTCATCGCCTTGCAGACCGACGTGGCTCGCTGTGCTTAGCAAATGATCACGCGCCAAAGCTGTAATTTGGACAAATAAAATCAATACATTCAAATCATTCATAATCATGCGCAGAAAAGCATGCATGGTGACAAGCTTTGAGCCGACATGACATTATGCGAACTCATTTCCTCTACGCACAGTGAACCGAGTCTATCGGGCTGGCTCAGGCCAGCCATCGGGGGTCCAATGCTGGACTTGCCCGTCGATCACACAAACCAAGCCTGCACAACATAGCCCTAGCCAACGAATCTCAATCAACATCGGCCCAAAAGGTTGGTGCAAGTGGTGCAAGTTGGTGATGCTAAAAACCTCCAGCCGCAAATATGGGTGGGTGTCAAAATAGGGGACCCCACAAATGGCGGTCCCACTGTGGTTTCCCTTTCAAACCAATCCCATAAAAAGGTTCCTCTCAAAGCAAAACCACACACACACACACGAATGCTTATGTGTGTGTGTGTGTGTTTCGTGGTCGAGCCTCCTCATGCGCGCCATGGTCATGATTCCCGTTAGAAACAGTATCAGTAGTTCCTTATTTGTCCAAAATCCTTCGCGATTCCATGGCCGTCCCCATCAATCTCACCCCTTCCCCCCCCCCCCCCGCCCTCAGCCCGCGCCTGCGGCAGCTGCAGCGTCTGGAGCTCCGGCAGCTGCTGCTCCTGCAGCCTCGGGCGCGATTTGTCTCACGTGAAATCTACCGGGCGCGGCTTCCAGGAATCGGACGCCCCAAACAGATTGCCGCCCTTTTGGCTTTCCTGTAAAACCCACCAAGAAAGTTCCCCACCAACAGAAAAACAAGCCGATCTAGAAATACAAAGTTGCACTAGGTGGAAGATGGTGGAAGTAGACAGCACAATCTTCTTCTGGGTTTATATAAAAACGCGGATGACGTTTGATCAGCTGGGTGGGCAATGTGCCATTTACTTTCGGACCAAAAGACTGGCAATGAAGCCCCTGTGCTTTGGCCAAGGAATGCGTTGCGGCTGCTCGCATCCTGTTGATTGACTGTGCTGCTTCTTTGTCACTGTAGGACGTAGGCTTAAAAAGGTGATCCGGCAAAGAAGCGGCTCCAAGACATGCTGAAACTCCGATGGTGTTGTGTTCAGTATTATTGACTGCTCTAGTACAAAACCTAGCATGGTTGAATTGGTTTCTGCTCTGTGCACTCTGCTTGTCCTGTGGTGAGTGGTGTTCTAAATGTGATGCCCTCATTAGCTTACTGCAGCTTGCTGGCCCACGTGAAAAGGCATGTCTCAATGCTTGAACTTATCAAAGCCCTAGCGACATGCTAGTGCAGGCGATATGCACAAATGTGACGTTTGAAGGTTAAGGAAGGATTGTGCTATGCCAATCAAATCAATGGAAGATCGCTCAGCAAACAGTGAGTTCATTTGACTGCTAAACTTCGGTCTAGCAGAAAAAACATCTAAGCTACTTTCTGCATATGCTACTGAATTTGCGGACAAGAAGTCGGAAAAGCAACTCAGCGTCGTCTCTCATGCCTTCTCAGCCCATGCAACACGTGCACAAGCATTGCACCCGTCCTGCAACCATGTACGAACTGACTTTGAATCAACACAAATACATAAGCCTCCAAGTTGAGCTAAGTGCGCGGCTCAGAGTAGGTTCCCTGAGTCAGCACGTGCCCCGATCGAATGATGACAATGCCTGGCGCAAGGATAGGGCCTGGTGAGGACAGTGGGAAATCACAAGTCACTTGCTGTCTACCATTTCAGCATGAAACAACCAGTCTCAAAGGAATGCTGCAGAAAATTCAGGCTGGTTGGCATTGCTGTATTGTTGTTCATCGGCGTCATCACCATCACCATCACCCTCACCATCCCAATCATCCCAATCATCCCTATCATCCCTATCATCACTATCATCACTATCATCACTATTATCATCATCATCGTCATCTATCATCTATCATCTATCATCGATCATCTATCATCCATCATCCATCATCTATCATCTATCATCTATCATCTATCATCTATCATCCATCATCTATCATCCATCATCCATCATCTATCATCTATCATCTATCATCTATCATCTATCATCACTCATCACTCATCACTCATCAATCATCAATCATATATCATCAATCATCAATCATCAATCATCTATCATCTATCATCTATCATCTAGCACCATCGCCATCGCCATCATGCTGTTTGCTTGATGGCCAGCCTTCTTTTAAGAACACAATCGTGAGCTGACACATTGAAATACGCCTGCACACAGGCAAAACCACAACATCACAACACAGGCAATTTAGCACGCAAAAGGGAACTCATGAATGAGTGACATGGAACCTTGTGAAACCGAGCCAACTGCAACCCTCTGCTGCAGCTAGTGAATGCTGAGTGGAGCGTTACGAACATTCTGAGAATGTCACTTTAATGGACCCAGAATTACCCTCCTGGAAAGTTCCCCGAGATTCAGCTCAAGAGCACACAACGCAGCGTGGTACAACCAAAGGCAAACCCTCCAATTCTTCTCAATTCTGCTACTGAATCAGTGAGTCATGATGACAAATCTCAGCCCAACATAAAGCCGAAAAGTCCACAAAGGTTGACTCCACTTGAACGTGTTATTTCCAACAAATAAGGGCCCTTCGAACGGGTGAAGTCACCATTTCCTTCAATCCAAATGGGAGTGGGGCTCAAGAATCTTGTTCCCGCCGAAACATGCAAAACCCCGGAGCTGTTGCTGTTCTTGGGAAAGCAACAACCAAAACGATAAACACCGCATCAAGAAAATGGACGCTTCCAGGGTTGAGCCGCCTCCGCCCCGGGCCTGCATCGATCCGGCCGTTGGAGGCTAGGCAGCTGAGCCACCAGGGGTCCGCCGCCTGGGGCAAAACGCCAAGAGGTCCAGGGGCTCCGCTTGAAACCAAACCGCGCTGTTTCGACCCGTTTGCTCTTTGTGGTCAAAGGATTGGTTGGGCACCTGAGAAAAGTAACAATGGTAGCATGATTGTTTGTGGCATGTCATCGACCCCTAAAAGGACAACTGGGAACGCTGTTCAATGCACTTCACATTGCCCGGATTTCTGGTCGCTAGTTGGCTAAGGGCCCAGCGGCTATCAGGACTGTGCAGCCCCTGCGGCAGTGTGGCAAGCCCGCATGTCTCTCACACTGCAAGGGCAAAACGTTCACATACCGAGCTGTCGGGCGACTTCAAAGCTGACTATATGTGAGTGTGCGCGTGGGTGCGTGGGTGCCACGTGTGCAAGCGTGGGTGCTTGGGTCTGTGTGTGTGTTTCATGGGTTTGCGTGTGTGTGTGTGTGTGTGTGTGTGTTGTGACTGCGTCTATGTGTCCGCATCTGAGTGACGGTCTCAGTCTGTATACATATGCCAGCTGTGGTTTTGCTCGGGATCCTTTGGAAATGTATGCGTGCCTGCTTGTGTTCATATAGAGTACTGCATTTTTGCATGCTTGTTCTCTCTATGGTGTGTCCTTGCATCCTTGATGCATGTGTGTGTATATGCAAGCCAGCGGGGTGCATTTGCTGCTTGTATGCCCGTGTGATTGCATCCTGCCTGCTGCGCACCGATTAGACCCGGATGACAGGCATACCGATTCGCTTCTTGACATAGCGTTGCCAAAAACTTGAGGAACGAGCGGTACACCCACCACTCCTGGGAGTCCCGTAACCTCAGCAAACAGCCATGCTTGATGTGAGTGGGTCATTTTTAAGTGGTTGGGTTCTTTTAAAGGGAACGAAAGGAAAACCACCAGTACCTTACCTTCCCCCATTTCGTGACAAACCCATGCCACAAGTCCTTTGAATCCTTGGATCGAAATTTAGGACATGCTCGGGCGCCTACGAGCTCACTGCTCTCGACTTAAGCCACTTTCTCACAAAGGAATGGAGGAAACCCAAACAATACTCCCAATGAACTTCTATTGCAAATGGGAGCTTGGGGGGGGTACATGTTACAATCCAGCAGAGGGAATCCATTCTCAACGACACGACTCTTCCAGCGACGACGCTTGAAGCGAACGCTCCCATGAAGGGGCCTAAAGCGACTTTGAGTGGCTTGAATGTTTGTTGCCCAGTAGGCATGAGTTCACTCTGAAACATTAAAAACACGCCAATCAAACCAAGAGTTCAATGATGTAGAGGTGCCAACATTTAACAAGTCTTGGCTGGCAGTTGAAAAACTTTCTGGGTCTATCTCCCCTGCCTCAGCAATCCCCCAGAGGAGAGCAGGGCAGTGCATACCTGCCCCAGGAATTCACACGTCTCCAAGTCCTGCCCCGCAACCCCCGTGCACTACAAGTGCCAAGGTTTAATTCTGGAGCATGGGCAACCGGGTCTGACTTGGACCCCCCCTTGCAAGCAATCAAGAAACTGTGGCAATGCCTGATATACGTTGAGCCAACTCCGTTGACATCAGGCCAAACTAGCGCATACTGCGCTGCCTGCAATGTCAAGTTCCCCGTGAGCTGGAACTGCCTCCAGCAATCATGAGTGAACAAATACTTTTGTCACAATACGCAAAGGTGTTCAAGGCTTCTGTGTGAGTTTCCATGTGCGTGCCGGATAAATGCGCATCCCATGCAAGATGACATCACTCTTTGAGGCTTTATTATCGATGTACCCTTGCGGCATACTCCAACATCCGCTCCTGTGCAGAAATTATGCATCTCAGTCTCAGTATTTAAGCTTGACCACTTTCAATCTCCCTACATGCGGATCATACACTGGGTATGTTGTACTGCTTCGGTATGCAAGTAAGTCATCAGGCTGAACATCACAATGGAACTTGCAGTGGGTGATTTGCAGTTCCACAAAAACTGCTCAAGCTTGGCAATCTTGGAAACTACAGAAACAATCCGGCATGGCAGGGTAATTAAATGTCACAGCCTCCTGGGAACCGCTGTAAACACCGCTTGCACTTGTGGTTGATTGCCTTATTCTCATGTCAGAAGAGAGCCTTGAGCAAGACCATTCATTGCCTCTGGCAAAACCTACTGCCCAGACAATACGCAACAACTAAGTAGACATGGTGGCGATTTTCGGTCCGACAGGCCTGAACGCAGAATTACAAGCAAAGCCTGCTGCGCAACATCAAAGAGCCTGACATGAGGAAGAAGCAGTTTCATACAAAACGCGAATCATTCAGCACTTCCATGCCGACAACGGGGTTGCGCTAGGTCATGCCAAAACCTGATCAGCTCCGTGCAAGTGCTGCTGCCTTTGCGGGTTGACTCTCTCGAAAAAGCAACGGCGCCCCTGAATCGATTCGCTGGATTCTCACATGAGACCTCTTTTTTTGGACTTTGTGTCTGAGGCGACTTTACCCCAAGGCGCTTTCACTCAGAGACAACTAAGCTGAGAGTGGCGCAGGCCTCTTTGGCTACCTCCTTGTCCAGGGCACAGAAGGGATCGTCCAGCACCACTAGAGGCGCGCGCCTTGCACAAAACATCTCAAAAATCGGCATGGCCAATGGCCTGACCTCTCAAGCCTTGGCAGTCCCACACGACATGAACAATGCTAATTTGTGTATTCAGTTGGTGTGTCATTGCTTCCCAACAGCACCCAACATATCGCCACCAAAGTCTTGCTTTCTCTCCTGGACAAAGCAATCATGGCATGTGCACACGATACACATGTCACCCCTCAGCCTGCTTCGCTTAAGCTCTGCTCAGAGTCCAGTTGCGCTAAACAAGCAACAATGCGCATCTGGCGGAGGTGAGTGCACAAAGGTTCACGCGGGAATGGATGCTGACTCAACTGTTTGGTCAAGAGTTCACGAGCACAGCCATGCAAAGCCTTTAATCATTCCCGGGCAAAACTTAGAGGTGGTAGCTTGTGAGTACGAATGAATCAAACAGTCAATGCAACAACAAAACCGCTATGATGCTCGCGCTGAGAATGGTTCGCCTAAATTCCACACTGAAGCAAGTGGCTCTCTTGAATGCCATCAGCCAATCCGTCATACCTCCGAGCCGGCACATGCATAGCACAACAGCGCCGGACTCATCAAACCATCCCGATCCAACTCACCTATCCGTCATTCTGCTTGACTCAACCCTGCCAGCAAGGGGCACGCTCTACTAAATCCTGACCCATCACCAGGCCAGAGAAAGACAGAGATGAAAGGCATTGCGATGTTTAAAAGCAATGGCACACCGCAAACGCTGCGGTGCTGCAACCGTCAATGATTCAATGTTGCACCTTAGTCTCATGCAGCAGCGAGGCGACAAAAGAACACTGTTCCAGTCGGGGCATTGCAGGTGTGCAGTGAAATCATGAAGCGCGCATGTCAAGACTTGGCGATGCGATTGTGCATTCGAAGTCAAGTGGTGGCAACAAAGCTCACTTAGTTATACGCTCTGGGCCGCGGCCGGGGGCCGGGTATAGCCCCGCAGCTTGGCATTTGCTTGGAGGCAACCCGAGAGTCACTTGTTGGTTCAACAAGATTTGGCGTTTGTTCAAAGGCGTACAAGTCGCCCCAACTGAGCCGCGCGCCCGGCAGCAACCTCCAGGGCTGCCCGGTAAGCAGCCCGAGCCAAGCCTGCCAAGTATGGGAGACATCAGTAAGGACCACAGGAATGCGCCAGCCATGGCAAAATGGGTGTGTCTTTCTTGGGGGCTCCGTTTCTGGATGTTAAACAGATTCAAACAGGACAATCAAAGGAACAACCATCAGTTTTTGAAGACACACCCAAACAGGACCCGAACAAGTCATCTTTGCGCATTGCCTGCAATCCCAGCGTTGTCCTCCCACCAAACCGCATGCAAGTTTGCGAGATCTCTTTGGAGGATTGCCTACGGGAGCCTGTCTACTTCCATGGCGCCTACTCGAGCGCGTTGGCCCCCGGAGATGGTGGAGCCACCTCGCGCAGGTAACAGCCGAAGCGCAAAGTACCAGGAAACAGAGGGAATATATGCTGGCACCGGGGTCTTCCAAAATCATGTAAAGAACCAAGAGGACGGCTGCACCTATTTATTGGCTGGCACTGTCCCTTAATGCTCCTTGCTTGAACCTTCACCTACCAGGATTTCGACTCATTTGAAACCCAACAAACAGAAACTTGCTTGTCGGGTGATTCTATTTGGCCACAAACAACCTGAATTTGTGGGTCGATGTTCAAGGGAAACTTATTTAGACACAAAAGAGACAACAGGCGCTGCAGGACAAGTGTCGAGTTCTTTGCCGAACAAGTCCACAGATTGGGCGCTGGGCATGTCATTCTGTGTTCAATATTATTGTGAAGGTGCCACATGGTGCCAATGGTTGAAAACAGGATGCACCTGTTTAAAGCTAGCGGGACAAAAATCATTGGCTTGTGGCCGAGGGCGTGAATCCCAAAGAAACACCAGAGCCGCAAGAATATAAACCAAAAGAACGCCATAGCCAAATGGAGCCGGGGTGTAATCTTGTTTGGAATCACCCGTTGCTCGATTCCTTGCTTGGTTCCTTGGTCTGTTGATGGCAAAGTTCAGCAGCCCTTTGAAAGTGATGCTTCGCAAGCAATGTTGAAAGTTCAAGTGCTCAACCTTGAGAGGAGAAGGGGTATTGGCTGTTGTGGGCTAGGGTTACGCCTTGCGTTCTATGGCAAACAAAGGTCAATCGCAATTCCTCACTCAGCCAATCTGCATGCAACTTGACCTGCTCTAAAGGCAAAGCAACAAATGACATCACTACTCGATGGTCTAGACTGCCCAAAGGAACCATTCACATGTCCCAACCGAGCAGCACCCTGAAGCACATGCATCTTGGGAATCTTCAATCATGTTCCACGAGGCTGAGCAACATAATCTATTGCGCACTGACGTGCTTGATGACAGGGTCTAAATTAGTTTGCTCAGGCTTCACTGGCAGATTGAATTCTGGATTGGTACGAACACAGTACCACCCGTTTGAGGAGGAGGCGCCGAGCCTAGACACAAAACAAGCTATGCAAGCCACAAAATACACTTGTAATTTTGCGCTTCCCCTCTCCCCTCTCCCTCTCTCCCTCTCTCTCTCTCTCTCTATTTTTCTCTCTGTCTCTCTGTGTGTGTGTCGCTCTCTCGCTCGCCCTCTCTCTCTTTCTCTCTCTCCGTGTAAGCTTTCTCTCGCTCCTTCTACTAGAGAGGACCAGCCGTAATTCGCCGCGCTATTGCTCCGCCTGCCCGACAACGACTCTGCACAGACCAACAGGGGATCCCAACAGGGGATCCTAATGTTAGGGAACGCCCCATCGATTCGATCACCCTTGCCTGCAGCGATCTCTGTCCTTGGCCGAGTGCGAAACACGGAGCTCTAGAAAGGTCATAGCCAATTGGATAATCCTGCAGGGAAAAGGAGGTCACTGAGCTACTCCAGCTCTCATCTATGGCTCTAGGAGTTCAGGCATTCTGAATTCGGAGCGTTGACTTGGCTGTCACCCGCAACGTGACGGCACAGTCGCCCCCAATTGAGAGGTTCAGTGACGGGCAGCATGCAGCACCAGATGCTGTGCCAGCTCAGGCTGTTGCACCCTCAACCGCATCAAACCCCAGAGACACAGGTTGAGGGCTCCACTACATCAGCAAATGAAACGAGAGGTGGAGTTTTGCCAAGACAAACAGCGGAAGAGAGGAAGGCAACCCTGGGACCTTGCAAGACTGCAAAGGACCAAATGAGCGACGTCCCACCCAGGACTGCACCGTGCAGATCACTCATCAACTAGTAGGTGTTTCTTTTTTGCTGGCCAATGGCTCCAAGACCCCATGAACTCTCTGACACGGAAGAGGCACTCAAACTTTAGAGCCAGCCCAGCTTGCCGAAGATGACAAGCTGATAAACCGCAACCCAACCTACATAGACCATGCAATGTGCGTGGTCAAGGCTGCAAGGTTGCCAGGTTTCTCTCGTCTCCTTTCAAGCAGGTGTCCCGGTGTCCCACTGGCGAAGGGTTAGAACAAGCGCCATCCGTATTCAACCAAGCTGACCTTAAAGGACCCTCTTCATTCAACACAACCTCTGGGGCGCGAGCAAATCTGCCAAGGGCATGGTGATGAGGTCAGCTCTCAAGGAGCATGCCTCTGAGGCGCGTCAGCCGAGAGTCCAACAGCTGGACGACCAAAACATAGACCTCGTAGAAAAACTCCTGTGGCAAAAAAAGGCATCAAGGCCATGAACTATACTTGAATGGCCACTCCGAGTTGTGGTCGCCAATTTCTTTCGGGATCTGTCAAACCTTCTGCGGATCGATGCTTGCCACTCTTGCACCGATTGAACAATTCAGGTTTTAATCCGTCCTAAAGACTTTTCAGCCCGCTCAACAGGTCTTTCGTTGGTTGCTGATTGGAGCACGGTTCTCTTAACCGCGGGGCACAACAGCGCTGTCCAAAGGGACAAAGGGTAGACCGCTGCAGATTAAACAATACTCCCAAACGGGAAGGGTGCCCCCAAGAGAAGATTCCTCCACAAAGCACTCTTTTCCGGATTCCATGTCAATCTATCAACCTCCTTCCTCCACAAATTGCGCTCTACTCCGGGTTCCATGTCACCCCATCAACCTCCTTCCTCCACAAATTGCACCCTATTCCGGGTTCCATGTCAATCTGCAGGAGTATCAACATGTGTAAACCCAAACCACAAGTCGGGCGGAGTCGGCGTCAACAGTCTGAGCCTCCAAGACGCGGTCGTAGACCTCTTGGTCAAGGTCTAAGCCGAAGAGCACGTTGGAGCCTAGGTCGGCTGTCGCATGGTCACGGCTGATTGCTGCAACGCGGAACAATGTTCCTCCAAAGAAGCATGTTTGTTTTTTTGAGGTCGGGTCTTGCCCCCAGGTTTTTGTGCGGAAACGAGGCAGGTCACTGATACCGATTATTGACCACAGGAAGGTTAACAAGAACTTTCGCAGTATTGGAACTAAATGAGCCTGCTTTCTTTGAATATATATATATATATTTCTGCGCTGTGCGTCACACAACTGAGAAGAGCTGGAAACGAACACACTGGGAAATAAAAGCGGCAACAGGAAACCTGTGTGTGAATTCGGCTCTTCCACATGCGCGCAATCCACCTCGGTTGCGACGCCTGACCGAGGCGGTCTCGGAACCGGCTCAAACAGGGTGCGGAAACGGGACCGTTGGCACAGGGGCGCTCACTGCTTCGCAGCCATTGATCGGTGAACCATCTGCGCACTTTCGTTTGGTCAAACTTCAACAACTCAGTACATCTCAGTACTATTTTATGTGTTGTTTACTTGCCGCAGGCATGACACTTAATGGTGAACTCTGTGATTGTGTTTTAACTTCGCTCGCGGAGCCCTGTGCGGACCTACGGTGTGTGTGTGTGTGTTCAAAAATTATGTGTTGTGTCCATGTTTCATCGTCGTAAGAGTAGAAGAGTAAAGAGTAAAAGAGAGAGTAACTAAAGAAAGAGAAAGAGCAAGAGACAGACAAGGATAGATAAAAGCAAGATACAGAAAAAGAGAAAGAGAAAGGCAAGGATAAAAATAACCACAGTGGGACAGAGAAAGAGAAGTAGAGAGAGAGAGAGAGAGAGATCGTGACACATAGGGAAAATATGAGCGCTCAAAACTATAGCTCTTATACGTTTGAAACTTCCACCCCCTGGCTTCGCCGGCTATACTGGCACCTAGCCCACATGAGAAGTTGTAAAACTGGGTCAAGAGACCACACATGTATAATATATATATATATATATGTATTAATGTATATATATATATACATATGTATATATACACGCATATATGGACTGACCTGGCATTGTATGGCCCGAATCTCAAACTTGATCAAAGGCCAAAGCAAGGGCGAGCTAGCCTTATAGCATTTATGGCATACCGTGGCTGGCTAGCGCTGGGTGTTTCGTTTGCAGGCCTTCCCCAAACCAACTGCTCAAAACGGCAAAGGGGGGGGGGGAAAAGCCAGAAAGCGACATTGTCAGTTCCGTGGTGTAGCAAAGAAATGGAAGAAGAAGGTGCTGAAGCGCATTGTACGAGTAATTGAGACATGGCTCGCTGACCGGGCTGCGGAAAACCACTGTGCCCAACGTGAGATGGCACCTGCGAATGCTTTGCAACACAATTCCATATATGCTGCAGCACCACGTCACATGGCACTCCGAATTCATTCTCCAGGTTGTCTGGTTTGCCAGGCTCTACCGCAAACATTATCCTCACTGTGAATGCAAGCGAAACCATCTCGCGCATGCAAACGGTCTGTTCTACCTACATGGGCCCACACAGGCCCACGGGCTCACGTGCAACCGGCACCCACCGAAGAAGAAGCGACCATGACCAAGCGCGTCGATAGTTTCGACACAAGTCCGATAATCAACAGCTGTGAGTGTCATGAGTTGCCCGGCATTCTAGTCACAAGCCAAAAGGAAACAATGATACTGTCGGCTACAAGCATCCGGTGACTCTGGTCAACAGGCGAAACAGCGTGATGCTTTTGCAATCAAGACTTACAGGTTTTCTCCCACTTCCATCAATCCCAAAGCACGGCGGCACATGCGCCGCAAAACATGTCTTTAGCCTTTGAGCGCCCCAGCGAAGCGTCCCGGCGAAAAGCCAAGGCTCCTGGAACAAGGCGGTAAAGACTTCTTCAATGCGAGTAGGTCAAACCTTGGGACCCCCTGCAACTAGCTAGTTTCAAGGTGGCTTGTTTGTTTTCATATGCTGTATGTTGAGACCCCCCCCCCCCCGGGCCCCAGTAGCAGCGGGAAATCTGGGACTGTAGAGCAAGAATCACAAGCGGTTGTGACGCCGAGATCCGCTGAAGTTACTTTTCTGCAGGTAAGCACCCAGCACTGAACACACCAGGACACGGTGTTCTGCACTTGCAAGAGTATTGCAGTGCGTCAAGTGCATGTCTGGGAAATGCTCTCCAGGAGAGTCCAACTGGGTAATAGTTCACCAGCATGAAAGAAACAACCCGCAAGACGGATGTCTCATCCTGGGTCGGGTCGCTTACCCTCTAGTGACTCTAGTGATGATGCTGTGATTCGGCCAGGTTGGACTCTCAGAACAAGCTTGGAAAAAGACTACAAAACATCCTCATGTGACAAATCATGATGTTGATTGTTTGTGCGCTTGGGAAAGCGGGGGATCTCATTGAACAAGGACCAAATTGGAACCCTACGACTTTTTCAATAAATGCGTATGCGTTCTTCAGAGAATGGTTATGAACCCTCCCCCCAAAACTCATCCAGGTTCAGATGAATCCATCTGCAAGCACCTTCCAAATTGTCGGGTTCTATGCAAACTTGCAGGGGAGCACCTCTCAAGTGAAACCCTTGTGGGAGACATAATAGACGAGACGACTCTGAGAGGCGCCGTTGGGAGGTATATCGAACCATCACAGGTGAGCTTTCCGCAGGTCCGCAGCTGAGATATTAATCCTATGTCCTATGAATGGTGCTTGGCAAATCCGTGGCTTGCTGGCTAGTGGTCGAAGATTGGTCATCCTGTGCCATGTTCCCATCCCTCCACCCCACTGGCGCAAGGCTTCGCTTGAAGTCATTGCTGGAACGGCAAACTCATCATTTTAAGGCAATGAGTGACTCGAAATGGAATCCAGCCGAATGTAGCATTCAAATGAACACATCCAAAACATCGACATGGTAGATGAGATCAAACTTAAACTTGTCTTGATAGATGGCCGCTGCATATCTCCGAATCACGTGATAGAAGAAAACAAAAGAAGTTGTCATCTCCGTCATTTGCGCAACTGCACGTCAAAACTCGTTCATCAACGCAAGCCTGTCAAAAATGATTCACAACTTGGAAAAGCGCCACAGCTCGTTCGCTTGCTCCCATCCCGACTTGCCTGGGGTGCCAGCGAGATGCTGCGGCCACCGATGGAGCATGCCTGCGCATTGCGCAGGGCGTTCAATGCCGGTTGTTTCCTTTTCCGTAGAAGGCTTGTGCAGAATTGCCTGTAACTTGAACCCTTTAACCTTTTGCGCTCTGACCTTGTCACAAGGCTATAGTACGCTCCTTGCAGAAGCACGTGTGCGCATTTCAGCTTTGGAAGGATCAGAAACACCTAACAGCACCAGGTCGAGCCGCAAGTTGCCTCGGCATGCATGTCTTCAACTAACTCTCTCCAACATTCAAAAACAGATATTCAGCTCGAAACCTTCGCGGTTTTCGAAACGTGGCAACTTGCTTCCGCCCATTTTGTGAAAACAAATCAACTTGCCACAGCCTCTTTTGCTACTGTGCACATCAATGGCATTCGCAGTCCGAAGGACGATGTCACGTGTGGACATTCGTAGGATTGGCCAAGTATCAGACTTTTAGCCCCTGATCAAAGCGTCAAAGCGTCAAAGCTGTCATACTTGAAAGTGCGGATGTGGTTGGGCTACATGCTACTGTTGACATTACACACACCCAACAATCCATCAGCCTTGAATAAGCCAACCGTGAAAAACAACTAATGACATGAAACTTTGATGTGTTATGTTGCAGGCTCGCGACTAGTGACCTTTTTAGTTTGAACGTCGGCCACAAATGCAAAGCAAAGTCGATTGTTTGTTGCCTAACATAGCCGGAAAAGCGACCTGAGTGGAGGTTTTAATGCCCTTTAAACTTGCGTTGACGTATCAAACCCTTCCGCGAAACCTTCCGCGAAGCTTCCGCGCTGTGAAGGGTACCTTTCGCAAGCATATAAGTTTGTATAAGTGCTTCCGCGGGCCTTCCGCAGGCTGGGGTACCTAATGCCGCAGGCAAGTTGCTGATGGAAACTGGAATTCGTGCGTACGGTTTGCTAGTAAACGTGCTTGGCAACAACCACCCAACCGAAATCAAACTACTATGTGCAAATCCAAAGGGTCCCTTCCGCGAGCTTCCGCGGGAAAAACACCTTCCGCAAACCTTCCGCGACTGCAGTGCGGTGCCACATTTTTTGTTGATATGTCAACATCCATACATGTTTGCTTGAGCGGAAACATAAACCGCCACTCACCTGGCCTTCCGAGGAACACACCACAGTTGAATTCAAAGGTGGGCGTCACTGTTCAACATGGGCTGGTTCAACTCAACTCTAGGGAAAAGACAACAAATCCCAATTATTCAAAATGCTAGTTGGTCAATCCGAAGTACCGAAACAATGGGGAGTTGTTTCCAAACGTGGGAAAGCCCACATTTTCGGTAGGCATCAAAAGGAAGCAAAGCTTGACCCCACCCCAAACGGGGCAATCCACTCAGACCTTGGTACCTGTCCCACTCCGGCAGCCTCCAGGAGGAGGTTGCGGGCGTCCAGCGCGTTCTCTGGCACTACCTGGCGGAAACGGCGGATGCCATGGTGGGAAGCCTCGGCTGACGTTGGATGAAACCCAAAGGCAACAGCTTGGTGAAGGTCGAGTTCCTTTGAGACAACATCGCAAGGATCTCACGTCTGGAGGTTGGCGCGTGTTGCCCTACTTTATGTTGTCTTGCTTGCTTCCTCTAAAGAGTGTAGATCTGCCTTGTGAATATTGTTTCTGGCCACCAATGCTTGGATTGACTGGCGCTTCTCTGGTGCAAATAAGGATTCTGCAAGATCTTCTGCATTCGGAGACCATACCTGCACCACCTGCACAAGCACCTGAATGGCATGCGATCAGCACAAGGAAACAAGCAAACCAGCCAATGGACCAACCAAACTTACAGTGCCCAAAGGGTACCCCTACATCGCTTCATAGCTGGAGATCTCATCCCAGAAATGGGATGGACAGGCTGTGTGAGATGGCTACTTGTGGGCTGAATGAAACCGGACCGGACCTGATCATGGACAAACCCATTTGCATGCAAAGCACACGTTGTGCTGTATAAGTTATAAGGAATCGCAAGCAAATCGCTTTAGCATTTTTCCGCCACAGTTAATGCAACCACAATGTAGCATCAGTTTCTATGTGCCCTCTCACAGACCAACTAAAAACACAATGTGGGCATAAGGTTGGGAAAGTGACGTTGCAGTTGGTTGCCCCTCGCTTCGTCTTCACTCACTTCGTGACAACCCCAACACGGCATCAATGATCACGGCTACTGCATGTTGCCCAGGCTTCAAGGGGTGCTCAGGCAACTCTCAAGCGTCGGTGGGTGGTTTGAGGAGGATTGGATTGGTGGTTGTTGTGGACAAATTTCGGGTTTGCCACCTCCAAACCAACCCAAACCCACAACGAGGCGTCAACAACAACAAAAAAGCTGAGCTCTCCGGCCGGGGTCGTGGCGCTGGGCGCCTTGGAACCTGAGAAGTGCCCGGCCTGAGCCAGGTCCAATGCCGATCATCTCCTGGGAGATGATAATCATAGTATCCGGCATCCCCTTCCAACAATCATAATAGATGATTATATGTATATATATATGTATAATAATGAAAATGATGATGATGATGATGATGATGATGACGATGATGATGATGATGATGATGACGATGACGATGACGATGACGATGACGATGATGATAATGATAATAATGATAATAATAATGATAATAATGATAATAATAATAATACCAATAATAATAACAATAACAATAACAATAACAATAACAATAATAATAGTAATAATAATAATAATAACAACAATAACAATAACAATAACAATAACAATAACAATAACAATAACAATAATAATAATAATAATAATAATAATAATAATAATAATAATAATAATAATAATAATAATAATAATAATAATAATAATAATAATAAATACAAATAATAATAATAAATAAACAAATATTAATAACAGTAATACCAATAATAATAATCATAAAAATAATAACTATTATTATTATTATTCTAAACATATGATATTTTGTGTGATAGTATATGAACATTTCCGACAATCATGGACACTGACAGAAATAAGATGTGGGAAGAATGTGGGAAGACGGGTGTTGGAAACAGGGTCATTCATTGTTTCACCAGCAGGAGATTGTGGACCCGTGTATTGTTTCAATCGAAAATGACAATTCCGCTGAGGGATTCCCCTGGTTGCCCGAACTGAAGGTTGCTGGTTCATAACATACTCTTGAACAACATCCGAATTCCAAGCAGCAGGTAGGGGAGTAAAGAAACAAGTGCCCCCGTCTTGCATACAATGTTTCACAGGGACTCCACGCAGAAAATGCGCTCACTGACAAACCAAAGCCGAACTGCACATAACGCGGACATCCTGCACAGTGCTTGCGGACCAACTGTTAAGTGGAACAAAACGCCCCTGCCCCCTTTCTATCAGTCTAGCCCAAGACCGAGTTTCATGGAGGAGTCTGAACAAGCCAAATAAAGAATCAAGATCCAACATTCCGTATCCGGCTCATACGGCGGCGAAACTGAATAGATGCGAATAGGTTGGCCCAACGTGTTGAGCAAGTTTGTCCGATGACAGGACAGGCGAGTAGAGTGCACGCATCAGCCATGACAAAGGACACTGCTTGGCACCAGCACTTTTAGACAACACACATGAGCATGGCACAGCCAGCCGTGCAGAGTCCGCAGACCAAACACAACACAGCCCCGTCGAACCAGTACCATGTTTGGGGTTTGGTTGGTGGTGGAAGCAAGCTGACATCTGTGCACCTACATATTTGTCTGTGTGTGTATCTATACACGTATAACGTATTTATATACAGGCCGTTGACCCGGTGATCTATCTTGCCCGCATTTCCTGGGTCGAGTCACGACCCCGCCAGCCCTCACAAAACCTGCGCACATCCTCCTTATCAACTGAGAGCCGTGCTTTCATTGCCATCTCACCTGAGCCAGGCAATCCGGGCAGGTTGTGCTGAACGCTGCAGAGACTAGCTCACTCCCTTGCAACCTGCAAGCTAGCCCGCCTTTCGGCAAGCAACAACGAAGGGACAAACATAATATGCACAGGTTCGTGAAAACCAACAATGACGGCGAGGACCATCGCCACAACCAACAACCGAAACAGAGGCACAATAGCAGGACAAACGCAGCACGAACAACATCATCAAATGAACACCACCACTGGGACCATCCCGAACAGCATCATTTAGCTGAATCATGCTGAATTCAAGAGGTGGTAAACTAGTCTGACACAAAACCTGCGTGAGTACAAGGTCTGACGAAAAATACATCTGTTCGAGTGAACTGTGTGCGAGTGGGGCGCCCGAGAGTTCGAGCAGCTCGTCCGCTCGTCAAGCTATTCGCCCGTCCTTTTCGCAAACTTGCACGCCTTCCTGCGCTGCACTGGCTCACTTATTAAACAGCCCCTCGTACACTATTTGGCAAATGTGACTTAAGCATCTGTCTGAAGCTTCTTGGATCCAAATAATTCGTCATCATCCTCATCCGCACCAGCACCCTGATCATCAGCAGGAGCATCCTCATCATCATCATCATCCTCATCCTCATCCTCTTCCTCATCATGATCATGATCATGATCATGATCATGATCATGATCATGATCATGATCATGATCATCATCATCATCATCATCATCATCATCATCATCATCATCATCATCATCATTATCGTCAGTAGCAGCAGCATCAGCATCCTCATCATCCGCCAAAGCAGCGGCGGCTGCAAAAGCTGCGGCAGCGCAGCAGCAGCAACAGCTGAGTGCTTCTCACTCCAACAGCTTTCCGTCATGGCCCTTCCGATCATTTGACCATTCCTAGCAGGATTGTCATTCGAGTCAACATTGCCCAACTGCCTTGGGCGGATCAACTGTGTGGTGTCAGACACATGTCTCTATTTGGAACACGCACTCAATACCCCAGGCAAGGCACGCACAACTATGTTAGGGCCCTGAATTGGGGCAGCATTGAAGTCATAGGATGAATGCCATAGTGGAAATCATTATTCCCTTGAATTCACGTGTACTCAATCCCAGGTCCACTCCCGGTACGAGATCAGCAATATGCTGGCACAAGAACCCCCCAACCCCAACCCCCTGAGCTGCGAATCTCCAACCCCCCCCCCAAGTGAGGCGCCCAGAAGCGCCATGAGCAGCGATGACTTGCCCTGGCCCTCAGGTGGTGACTGCGATTGACCGAATTCCGAGGGTTCCACTACCAACCAACCCCTTGTGAGTTCGATGGGATACATACCGAAACCAACATAACAACTACAGCATGATATATATATATATATATACCTATATATATATATGTATGTTTAGAAATACTCACCTCCCCCCCCCCCCCCGCGCCACACACTCAAGAAGGTTTATAAACTTTCCTGAAAGTTTATGAACACTATGTAGGCTTATTGCGTGTTGTTTGGGGGAAAAAAACAAAAACAAAAAAAACAATCTTCGGTCCAAGGGAATACAATCTGAGCAAACTCTGCAAACCACTGCGTCTTACAGCATTTTGTTGGACCTCCAATCCCTTGAAATGTCCAGTTTGGAACGCCTGAAACCGAGAATCTGGAGATCAGAATCCTTGAAATGTGGAGCCGGGAGTCCTCCAAGATTGTACTCCGAATTGAATTGGAATGTTGAATATAATTTAGTAAGGACATAATTTACCACAATTCATAACTCACCATAATTTCCATGTTTAATCAGAATTTGAATAGGAATTCCTCCCCACATAAGGACAAATAATATTTAAGTAGAGCTTAAATATACTTTAATACAAACAGAATTCGAGTGGCTTTTCAGCATAAACACAAAACATTGAATAGAGCTTAATCCGGGAAGAATTCAATTTGCAAACAATTTTTAATAGTAATTCGTTCCCAAATATGGTTTAGACTAAATGTGGCTAAACAAATAATGGGCAAATATCCCCAGACTCCGAACATTGGCCTGAAGTTTTTTTGGCATGTGCAGGTCTCAGAGCTTTCATTTTCAGGAGATTTTGTGCTTTTGGGTCTGTGCAGGTTTCAGAGCTCAAAACTGCAAAAGAAGATATCATGTTTTCAATCTTTGTTCCCTGGTCTACTCAAGGCCACTAAAAATACCAGTGTTTTCAAACAAAGCCAGACTCGAATCTGAAAACGGATTCCGTTTCCGCTTTGTTGCCTTTCAAGCTAAAAAAAATATATGCTGTCATATAGAAGTGTAAAAACAACATAAGAGTGTCTCTTACAGTGTTTTCAGGCATCTGCAAGAACGAGGCACACAGAGTAGAGTTGACAGCTTCAACATTTTGGAGTGGAAAGGCAGGCCCTGGGGGGAGGGGGAGACCAAGGAAGCCTGGAACAGATCAGATAGATAGATAGATAGATAGATAGATAGATAGATATGGTACATACCCGGCTCCCCTGTAGTGCTTTGGGGGCAATTCTTGGAAACCATCTTAGACTAATGCGCTGATTCGAATACCTT